GACTCTTCTAGGCAAAATCTATACTTGTAATATTTTTGCCTTTCCCATTGAGAACCGCAAAAAAACACACACCAAACACAAACAAACAAACAATATAAAGTAATGAACATTCACAATTCAAGTCCCGACCCCCTGCAGTGCGTCCTTGTTCGGACCGCGCAGCTTCGATCGGAATGGAGATAGACAGAACGATGACGGCGTGACCAGTTACGAAGGCGTGGAACAGGTCTTCACAGTGACTTCTTTGGAGTCTCAGGCCTAAAGGCCTAAGTGACCTTCTCCAGGCCTTTTTTGTATCCCAGGACAAGGGGATCTTAGCGACGGTCACGGGTATTAGCCAAATATGGGCACCATACGCCATGGCCTCCAATCAGTGTGCTTTGCTTTGCAATACCTGTGCAACCAACAGGGGGTACCAAAGATTGCCAAAAATAGAAACTAAATGAACCGATTTCGCAATATGATAGTGAAACTTAAGATGGGTAATCATTTCTTAACACATATTTCTACAGTGAAGATTGCCAAACAGTGAACAACAGACAACAGATTTCGCAAACGTGTCAATACCCGCTCCTCCGCCTCACAGTGGGAGTGCCTTGATGCGGCGGGAGTGCCCATCGCGTGTTCCTCGGGCGAAAGCCCAAGAGTCAGAGTGTTCCGCACCGAGTAGTTGGTTGGCATGCGTAGAAGGCAAGAATCAACTAATCGATTATAAGCTGAGTCAGCCACATGAGCAGAAATAAATCTGTGCGTTCAGCCCTATATGGGTCCAAGAAACTCTGCCACGCTGCTAAACCCTGACAGGGTTGTAGCCAAACATAAAGCAACTCTCCATTAGATTCAGAATGTTTTGGCATTTTTCCACCGTGCTTCATGCTTCTTATATAATACTATAATAGCTGTTGTGTTTGTGGGAAACCACATGACATCACATGACCCTTTTATACTCCAAAACTGTGCCACCCGTGTTTTTGATGCGTACGCAGGATTAACAATTAGTCAAGCCCAGCTCGAGTCTTCAAATGTCTTCAATCTCAAACCTTGTGAACCTTGAAGGGATTGAAGGGGAGGGATTGATTAATCCGTTGTGGACATGACTTGGAAAACAGCGGACCGCCACCCACATCGACGTCGTTACACGGTGTGACCGTGTCCAAGCGTTTCATGGCCAGCATTCCTCACCATGGTGCGGTCTGGTTTCGTCGTCTGGAAGCCCAGCGGTTGTGCTCGTTGGCACCCAGTGGGGACAAACAAGCGACCTGTACTTGTACGGTGAGAGAAGACTTCGGGGTCTTTTTTGCTTTATCCAGTGGGTGAAAACCCCTGGAGGTGGAACATGGTTGAACCACCATTGTTTTACTAAAGATTTTACGCTGCAAAACCAGATCAACCACCTTTAAAAGATGGTCTTGGCCTTTCAGGGTTTACATGTAGTCATTAAGTTCAACAAGCAGCACGTGAAACATCTCTGAACCTTCGGCGATGTCTCCATCGCTTAGGCAATGGGACTACTTGCTGGTCCCATGTTCAATTGGGTGAGAATGATCACAGGTAGTGAACAGAGGTGAAAGACAGGTGAAGGAACTGAACTGTACTACTTTGAAAGACAGGTGAAAGACAGGTGATTTGGTAGGCAGCAAAAGTTTGATGCTAGGAGAACCTGGGGTAGGTCTTTAACAAATAGAAGTGATAAATAATGTTAAAATCAAACACACAGTTACAAAGCTCATGTTGGCAACTTCCACAAAACTCAACTTGTCTTTGTAAATACAGTACACTTATTGGTCATTAGATCAAGGTGCATCGTTGATTTCCCAAGCAAAAGCGGACGATTGTGGCAGATGCTTCTCCGTCTCGAAGTGGCAGATGGCGGGTGACCATGGCGAAGCTCTGTTTTTACCGGCAGAAGCAGTCCAGCAAGTTGGCCCCCAAGCAAGATGACATACTTCGGTTGAAGCTGGCTTGGGAAACCCAAACAAACCAGTTGATCAGCTGGGTTGGGGGAGACAACCATTCAGCTTTTACCTTGCTTAAGAGTTTCTTTGTATACCCGATGTGGCATCGGCGCATCTTGCCTCCTTTGCGCACCAAGGAGGGTCTTGGCCCAAAACTATTGGACGAATATCCGAACATCTTAAAGCACAAGGCCGGGACTGTGAAGTCCTAAAATGGTCAACCTCTTGAAAACCTTGCATTGGATGGTCTTGTCATGCCATGTCTTTTTGATATTCCTAGTCATTGGATGAGGTGATGTTGAAAAGGAATCAGCTGATTTAAACTTATAGATTCTCCTAACAGAGGCTAGCAGCGCAGTCCCCCCCAAGTCACACGCTTTTTGCGTCGCGTGCTTTTCGCGCGGTCCGTCGGTGTCGGTCCATGAACGCCAGGAGCTGGTGGCGGCGGTCCCGGAGGTCGAGAAATACTACCGGAAGCAAAACAATGTCACTGGGCCACGGTCACACGACACCGGTCACCGGTGGTTCTGCTGTGTCAGAGAGAGAGAGAGAGAGAGACAGACGTAGCCGAGGACCGACGTTCGAGCCGAGAGACGTGCGACGTCACATGCCGTCAATGATTTTGACACAACACGTGTCGTTGGGCATTTGTCGTTTTTGTTGGTATGTTTGAGTCTGAGTGATTTTGAGTGTTAAACAAAAACATATACATAAGTCAGTTGTATGCTATAGAGCGTATACGGGAGAGTCCCGAGTCCGCTGGGGACTCAGCATTTGTCGCGGGTCCATGGAGCTGAACCATGCCATGTCACTGCGTTGACGCAGCTTCGGGCGAGGAGGACGTCTTGTCGCCTTAAGAGTCGCCTTAAGAGTCGTTTTACCAAACGTCGCCGCTACCGAGGTTTGAAACGACCACAAGTTGACCCTATCACGAATCTCATACCCAAAAAACATCCCCCTTTGGGGTGCATGTTTTTCGGCTGACCATGTGCTCTGGCTTGGAACGGACAGAAGGAACCTCTCTTCTTCCGCAGACCTCCGACCCCCAGGCTGGATGTCCATACTACGAGGCGCGCGCGCCCAGATCGGCCTCTTTCTTCGGCTCCGAGCCGTTGACCTGGAGACGATCGGCTGGGCACCAGGCAATTGGAACAACCTTTCCAGCTAATGAACCCCCATCACTTGAATTGAAACACCTCTTCATATGATGGGGTTATTAATCAAGGGTCTACATTCAATGGAAAACATGTGGTTTATAGCTTGTCCAAGTGTCTCCTCCATTTGAGCTGGCCCGTTTCACAAACCACCACCCGGTTTACCGCGTGCCGTACGCACATGACCGGACATGACGTGCATGAGCTCCGTAGAAACGTGTCAAGTCATTAAAAGGTTTGGAATCCAAAGTCATCTCAGGCTGACCATGGCGACTTTGGTGCCGGAAAAACAAACCTTTGCCAGTGCTGCTGAATGGCCGTGGCGACTCCTTTTAACAGTTTATTACTTAAAGCACTTTAACCATGCTAGGATGGCAGCCATGTCACTGCCATCATCCTTAATCTTCAGATGGGGGGTGTATGTGTTTTCTGTCTCATCCTTCCAAACTGCACAACCTCACACTCACACCTCACCCGTCAGGTCTTTTTGCCAAACAAATGAGGCGACGGTTTGAGTCACAGGATTGGGCGCACCAAGCCTGCCACAAAGTACTTCCAACGTCAGCTTTGGATTCCAGTATATTTGCGATATTTGATGACTCTATATTGGCTATTGGACTCCCAAAACAAACAATCGCACGGGATCAGCTGGAGCATCGAACATTGAGCATCGAACATCCATATTCCATCATATTCCCCATGAAACAGGGAGCTAAGGAGCTACAGGAAGTTCCCAAGCCTTTGCTAGATGGAGTGTGAGCTGTATCTCTGCAGCATTTGCCAATGACAATGCCGTCTCACTCAGTTGCCGTCGCACTCAGTGCGTGGTTGTCACACTCTGCAGGACAACATGTGCCGATGCATGTTTAATCAAACCTCTGATGCTGAAGACCGGTCTTCCCTCCCCCAACTACCTTTGCTTCGACATGCTCAGACATCCTACGGGCACGACATGGGTGAAGGAAGTCTTTTCACGACCACTTGGGAGAGAGCCTGCACCCTGTATGTATCATCCTCAGAATGTCTTCGTGCCGCAGATGTGGTGATGGTCGTCGAAGCTGAACGGCTGAAACGACCGGCCAATCGGCACGTGTGACGACGAGTGTAGTGTGACGACGAGTGTAGTGAGAGAAAGCCAGTGGCGCTTTCGCTTGATTTGGCTATTGCGGAGAAAACCCGTCAGAAGAGATATCACCAGGAGCGCCCCTAGTAGCGACCTTGCTCCGTTCGTAGCGATGCCCTTTGCTCCTAGTTGCGATGCCCTTGTTACTAGTATAGCTTCTTGTTGCCCATTTATGGCCTCATGCTAGTGAAGAATGAGAATCCGTACACATTTTCATGCTTTTCCGTACGGGCAAGTCCGCTGCTCCCATACCGTCCTTCGACTGCAGCTGTTTTCAAAGTCTGTGTGCAGAAGACACACAGGAGACACGCCGGGTGCAGAACTCAGGGACATGTCATTTTAAGCGGAATCCTTTTTGGGATGTATTTTTTTTTTATTGTAAGGTGATGTAAGGTAATATTTTTTGAATGATGTTTATTATTACTGTTGACACAGATCAGGCCTTCTTTTACTTTCCTCTTCACTAGTCAACTCCGGTGCCAAGCTAGAGAGAACTCCTCCTCGAAGGCTATGATGTTGATGTGATCCGGTTGCAAGTTTGGAAACCGCAAGTTTAGCACACTTTCTCCTTGACGGTGTGGGTCCTCACGAAGGAATCTCAGCTTATCATCCAGAGAAATTCCAGGAATCGTCTACCCAGTCTACCCAGCCTACCCTTTGAGACTTCCCCACCAGGGAGGGGGCCGACTTTGTCGCCCCTAGTCTCCTGGTCCTTGCGTTTGTGTCGCAACATCCACCCTGTCACAGCGTGAACCGCAAGCTTTTTCGATGGGAGATGAGAAGAAGGATGAGAAGGAAGGCGGCTTTGGGGGGAGAAGTGCGGGTCATGCTTGGGTGATGAAACAGTTAAACAGAAACATATGTGGTGTGTGTGGTCGACCAGTTTCCAGGAACCACAGCAAAGCAGCAATGTCATTCTATGCACAGAAGCATTGTGGATTTCTACAGGATATGTTGACTCTAAGTGACTCATTGAACTAAGAACTGACTCCAACTGACTCTAAATCACTCAAAAAAACACTGACTCAATCACTCAATTACTGAGATGGGTGGCAAATCCTGTGTCAAAACGTGTTTGGGGCGAGGAACCTATTCAGGTTGGTTGGTCCTGAGAATGTAAGACTAGAGAATAGTGACCAGAAGGAGATTCCAACTGAGGTCACCTGAACGCAGCCTTCAAAAGTGATCGAAGACTGGGACGTCATGATCATAATTGATGTCTATTCGGACGTCACTTTGAAGGTGTCAGGCTGAAACGGTCTGAAAGCTAGAGTTCAGAGTAGATGGCACAGACCTCAAGATGTTCTTTACATGGGGGTTCATATAAACCACCTCTTGGGGTTTGTTTGCATGTCTGTGCCATCTACTCTCAATCCACTCTATGCGGACCGGGCTTCGATGATTTGCTTCGTTGGATATATGATTCGCGTCCCGTGGGTGAGGACCCGCTGCTGGATGTTGGGCAGTTAGACCGGTTAGACCGGCTGCTTTCGCAGGGAGAACTCCAGCTCCTTTCGCATCCTATTCCCATTCTCTGAGGGAGGGACGCATTCATGAAAATCCACCAAAAGACGGGCTCATAGGGGGTCTTGGGGGACAGCTTTTGGCTCAGAAGTTCTTGAAAAGGCAGCGGCATGCTGTTCATTTCAAACAATCACAAGGGGATCAAACTGGTGTGTATTTACTACTAGTAACTAGGGAGACCACACCAACCATGTACCAACCCATGGGTAGACTGGTCTATTTTCCTTCTTCCAGGGGGTCGAATTGGGCTGTTCCAGGCCCCTCCATCTCCAGCCATGTCGTATGACTCCATAGGTAACCACAGGCAGAAGACTTGCCTGCTTTAGAGGAGACTGGAAGGGTTGGAATTGGCCGTGCTAGAGAGAGAGTCCCAAAAAACTTTCTGTTTCCGACCAATCTCGAGCCACACATGTCCTGCTCCCATCATTGATGCGATCCCCCAGCCTTCCCCGGCCTTCCCCGGGCTCCCAGCTTCCTCAGGCATCTCCGCCGAAGCTTCTTCGGACGCGGCTGGCGCGTCCGACCGGAGCTCGGTGAGGACCATCTTGGGCAGCTGCAAGAGGCCGGATGACCGTCCAGCGCGCGTCCTTCGTTCACATTCCACGGGCCGTCCCAACGGTCCGAACCGTCGGGCGAAGACAGGAGACTTCGGCACTTCGCGGGCCACACGCAGCTTTCGCCACACGCATTGTTGATCGTTGCTGTCCTAAGCCCTAAGAAGGGTGTCCGTGCCGGTCTGGCCCACGACCAGAGAAGGACCAGGACCAGAGAAGGGGTGGTTATTGGATGGAAAATACATAGTAATTGCGTCCATAAACCACCCTTTCCGCGGTCCTGGCAATACTTTGTATTGGATGACTTTGTTCAATGTTTTGACTCACCTTGATGTGTGGCATCCACAAATTTTTCAGTGTAGCTTGGCAAGGTAGCGGAGCAACTGTCACAATAGTCAGAGGACCATGTGACCACTGGCAGCAATGTTTATCAATCTTGGAAAGTAGGGATGAATGCTGGTATGGGGCAGGCTGAAAAGAGGCCAATTTTCCAACAATAATGCACGACATAGGATTAAGATAGTGATGAATAATGATGGATATATAAGATATATATAATATAGATATACGATATATATATATATATATTTTATTCGATATATTATTGTTATCCTATATATATGAATATGGATGAATTACATAAGTGTAGGACCCATGTAGTTCTGCTTATTGGGAATCATATATTATAGGAATCATTTTAGTCAGCACAACTAGGGACCTCGTAATTATAGGCTTATTTCTTTTATTGCATTTGACTTCAGAGATGTTCAGCACAAAGCGCAAAAATGTGTTGTATAGGTAACATACAATGTCATTTTAAAAAATGTTGTGCCTGTTTTAGCATATAGAACTTATCCAACATGTTTGAACTGTTTTATGTACGTTGACTCTACAAACCTCCAGTGCCACGGTTGCACATGTTCATTTACCAGCATGTACTCTTCATCGTACGTACTCCTGATGCGTTTGTTTACCCTGCTACCACCCCAGGTATCTTGAAAAGAGGCCAATCTATTATATAGTAGATAGTCAAAGACATGCGTCCATCTAATATAGAGCATTGTAATTTGTTGTTTTCCAGCGGTTGGCATTCTTCTTTGAGAGTCACCAGCTCGTCCTTGCAGATGTGATAGCTAGGCAGAAATTGAACAGATAGTATCCATATGTATCCACTGATTAATTGTGACCAGATGTTCCAGCTCAAATGGACTCGATAACATCTCTGACCATATAGAAATTGTCTTTTGACGATCAAATGCGATACAAACATGTGAGATTTGGGCCGCTATGCATGGCTTACCCTCTCCTAGCCTACGATCGAAACAAACGACCGAAGGCCTTTGGATGGCCACCACGCTTCGAACCACCGTGGAGTGAGCTGGGATGAGGCAACCGAAGCGGAAGAATCCGTGTTTCTTCTTTCATGGGGGGTCTGTGGGGGCCTATGTTCATGATTTAGATCTGTGGTAAGAAATCATTGTCCTGGTAAATGCCCTCGTTTCAAAGATTTTCCATTTTCAAGTTTGGAGATGATGATTGATATGTTAGATTCTATAGATGTGATGTAGCCAAACCGTGTGCCTTTGACTTCGTGACAACAGCTTGAAAAAAAGAATCCCAATGACTCACCTTCTGAGAATGTCCCATGTCTGACCTGTCAGGCCAATTTGGCTGAACATGACAAGGAGAGGGGTACAAGGCGACTTCGAGGATCGAGACGGAGGGGGAGCCCGTGGAGCCGCGCTCCGACGCGCTCTCCGACGCCTTCAGCCGACGGGCGAGGACGCCGTGGCGAGCGCCGGGCGCGCCTGAGCCGATCGTTCAACGAACTCGCAGCACATGCTTCCGGCTGCATGCCGCCTTAGTCACGGGTTTGTGCCTGCGGCTTTGGGCTCATGGCCGCGAGGGGTTGAACATGGTGAACATGGGTCTCAACGGGATTCACCTGGCACTTTCCCCGCTGGTTCACGAACATGGACCCTGAAAAACAGGACCACGGGTTGTAGATGAAAGCAGCGGTCCATGTGCTTTTTTTTCAAAGAGTGTGTATTGAATATATAATAATATATATAATGTATTGGTGATGAATCAACAGACCCACCACTGGCAGCTATTATTTCACAACCTGTGTCGATTGTGCTTTTTACTGTGGCCCGGGCGTGGGAAGCGAAGAGACGCGAGAAGTCCGAGGAGTCCCATGAGGTGGTGTTTTCCAAGGAGACGCAGTTGACGTAGGAAGAGATCGTTCTCCACCAGTTTAAGCCACAAAGCAACGTAAGGGAAGAGACCCACGAACCTGAGATGGGACCTGGAAATACGCACTTCCTCTAGCTGCACCAGTGGTTTGCAGGGTCCAGGTGACTTTTCCATGAAGGAACCATCAGCCTTGACAGCTCGACAGCGGGGCTGCGTGGGCGGCGTTTCGCGAGGCGGAAGATTGATGAGCCGCCAACTCCATGGGCACAGAGTCCAGTGTCCTCAGAGGAGGAGGGGTCCCTGAGAAGAGACTCTGAGCGAAGACAAGACTCCAATGTATTGGATTTCACAACATATTTACATTAAGATTTTAAGGAGTCCGAAGTTATGTTTTGGATGGGAGATTCTACGAGCTTTTTACGAAGTTGTTTGGCGATATTACAATAGTGCTCAAATACGTAAGGTCTGTGCTACGACAGGAATTCTCCTTAGACTCTTTCCAGATTTGGTCATTCCTTGGCAAACCATGATTTGGTCGGGAGCTTCTGATGTGCTCTTGGCCAAGACCTCCAAGATGAAAGACTCCATCGGAAGAATTTACCGATCCTATGATTGTGGGCAATTTTGAGCGGCGCCCTTGGGGAATGGTCAAACAATAACAATCCATGAACGGCCTGTAGATGATGTTACTCTTGTTCTTGTGTATGTGTGTCTAGGAGTATATATGCATATACTGTAGACATCATTAGACATCTATAGTACTGCAAGAGATGACACTTCCAGGGGCACCACATAATACCACATAAAGCATGACGCCCCCCATGTGTTTTATGTGCTTTCCGTGGATCGCCGAATCGCCGCAGGAGACTGAAGCCAAAGTGAAGACGCCCAAGTCGTCGACGCAGGCCGCCAGGGCCGTGTGTCAGGAGAAGCGGGGAAAACTTTTGAGGTTCTGTCCTGTCGTGAATTTATTTAATGCGTAATAGTAATTTATCTAGAATCTTACGAGAAACAGTCCTTTGTGAATCCACTTTTGAATTCACCCGGATCTTTGTGAAAAACATTTCAGCAGAATGTGCTATGCATGAAGTTTTCTCGGCCACGAAGACAACTGGCATGCTGCGGCATGCTGGCTCCCGGATCTTGCGGGAGGGGCATCAGGTCGCAACGGGTGGCAAGCTTTCATTTACAGTCAAATCTGCAGGAAAACAAGGAGAAAAGCAAAGAGAACAGCAGTCTCTCAGTGATATATATATATATACTAAGCATTTCTTGAAGAACTGCATATGAATTCCATGTGCCAGTCTCCACCAGTCCCACGGGGGCCCCAGGTCTCCACCGTCGCAGATGCGTTTCTTGGGGCGTCGCCGTGGCGTCGCCGTGGCGAGTCTTCGTGAGATGTCGGTGCGATGCTGGTGTTCGTAAGGTGCTTCAAAGCATGGAGGTTCAGGTTGGTGGACTGCCAACAAAAACATGTGTTGATCTGACTTAGATGGTTTAGGATAGTTTGATCTATGATCTATGTGTTGATCTAGTTGTGGGATGTTGTTCTGTATTTTATGACTATTCTTTTCTAAGGTGTTGATCTGATTTTAGCAATGCGATTTTCGTTCGAAAGAGCTCAGCTCCGGACTGTCGGACTGCTCCGGACTGGCGCACTGAAGAAGGAACGTCATTGGCGCGGGATGGGGGGGACCCTCCAGTGGTGAAGAGTGTTGAACAACGAAAGAGGTTCGGGGAGGAAACTACATCTCCTGGTGTTGGCGGAAAAAAGGTGATTTATTGTTTACACCAACCTATGGGTCAATCCCCTTCTGGACAAGATCTGGGCAAGCCGCTGCTCCGGTGGAAGAATTCCTTGCTGAGGCTCTCTGCTCGTTTGCAGCAGCTGGAGAGCAAGGCTGGACGCAAGCAGCCAGCTCCGCGAGCGCGCTCGGAGCTGGCCGAACGCTGCGGTGGGTTGGGAAGGTCTGCGACTCCTTTGCAGTTCTCCTTGCAAGAGGTAAACCCATGAACAGCATGGCCTATACATGAAACATGATCTGCACTGCAAAAGGAGGGAAGTGGAAGTCTCTATGAGTTTGCGGGCATCCCTGTTCGTTGACTCCATGTTTGAGCTGGCAGAAGACATGAGCTTTCATCCTCCCAAACGATCACTGAATCGACTGAAGTGGGTCAAATACAAATTCACCTGGCTTTGTCTCCAAGGAATGTCTCTTTGGCCAAGGGTCTCTTCTGGATATTTCGCAGTCAATGCTAGGTGTGTTTAGGCCTGGCAGGCGCTGGGTGCACACTCCATCACTGAATCTCACTGGCACGCATTTCCGCCCACTCAGGCTTCAGTCACCATCTTAATTGTCTGTCTCTAGGTCTTTTCCTGATCTCATCGCAGTGGCCATGATCTTCACTCCGGCAGAAGAACGAGTTTTGGATATGCTCTCTGCCAAAGGCTTTGATGCCCGTGACCTTGCTGGTTTGACCCTGGAGGAGTTACAAGACGAACTGCCTACTGAGGTCCCTGAACCGACTCTGGAATCACTACGCAAAAAAGTTTGGCACCTCCATTGCAAGCCTCGCATGCACACCTGGAAGCAGCTTCTTCCATCAGGCCCCCACATATCTTCTTCGGCTTCTGCTCCCGCACGAGGCCTTCTCAAGCCAACGGGACCGCATCAGCCAACCGTATCCAGCACGCGGCAGTATAAGCACCAGAATGTTGCAGTGGCTCTGGTCGAGGCTGTTCTCCACCCAGGCCTGAGCTTTGCCATGGAAGACCTTCAACGTTCCGGGACAGCCCGCGAGGTGTGGATTGCCACCACTGCTGAATCCTTGCTCGCGCGCTTTCAGCCTGGAACGCTCGCTGCTGTCCTTCGGACTTGGAACCGGCTTGTGCAGTGGCAGCTTGAGACCGAGGCCGCCCTGGGACCAGTCAGTGATGTCCTTCTCCACCAGTTCCTTCAGGCGCAGGGACGCAGAGGTCGCACAGTACCAGCTTCAGTGTACAACCACCTACGATGGCTCACTGACAACTTGAAAGTCTCCTTCCCGCTGGACTCGCCAATGTTGAAAGACTTTACTGCCGCTTCCGGTGCCACCACTACCTGGCCTACGCAAGTGAAAACTTTGTCTGCTCAAGTTTGGAGGCATTTGCTGCAGTTGGCCACATCCTCTTCTACGTCGTCCCTTGCCCTGGCCGCTGGCTTGGTCATTCGCTTCGCAGTTTCTGGCCTGAGGTTCAAACACTGCGCTCGTGCGAGTTTTGAGCCCGAGCTCTCTTCGATACGCACGGGTGTCTGGAAGGTCTCTCACGGAAAGGATGGTATGCCTTTTGCTGTCGCTCTGCCGATGTACGTTGAACCGGGACATCCTCTACTGAGCCATGTGCAGGCACGAGTGCGTGCTATCTTAGGCGTCGGAACACCATTCTTACCAGACATGTGGTTTGATGCTCAGGGGAGTGTGGTGCTCCGGTCTGCGCCTGCGGATTATCCCCGCTTCCAGGCCTTCGCCCGCTCCCTGTTGCATTTGCCACCCCTGTCGCTGACTGAGCACGCGGCTTCAACTTTTTCCACACGTAGTTTTCGTCGATTCCTTCCAACCGTTGCGGATGCCCTCCAGCTTTGCGACTCTGATCGCCTCTGCTTGGGCAATTGGTCCGATGGCCGCAAGCTGCCTCTTCCTGTTCGGTACAGCTCGGAGCGACTGGAGTCTGCTGCGCAGGTTCGGCGGCTGTGCTTAGCCTCGGTCCACCATCTGCTTAAACACGCGCCGCTTTGCGACTCATGGTCTGGCCTCCGTGCGGTGGCCCCCCATGTCGCTCGCTTGCGGTCGAACATCGCCACCTCCTCTTGGGGTCCTGGCGTGCGTGCCATCCCGGAGCCGGATCTTGTTGAAAGCAGCCCGGTGTCCACGGAGCGAGCATCTTCCTCTGGGGGCTCTGATTCCCCTTCCAGTGATGCCTCTACGGAGTATTTGCTGGCCCCGGCCGGTGATGCTCCTACCGATCCGGAGTCCGTCTGCTTTGTGTACCCGGCCAAAGGCCTCTGGCATGCTGCTGCAGAACCTCAAAGTCTCACACCGCTGTGCTCCAGTCGTGTTTTCCGTCAACAGGGTATTGTGTGGGCCACTGGGCTCACGGCCGCGCTGGACCTTCATGGAAAGTTCTGTGCGCCGTGTCTCCTCAAAGTGGCCCCCGAAACTCGGCTGGCCATCCTGTCCCGGGCAACGCCCCGCTCGTGATCCGGCTAGCCGCTTGCGCAGAAACAGGCACACACCGGGTCGCTGCGCTCACGTTTTCAAGTGCTTTGAAGTTTTGCACATGTGTATTTTTATTTGTTTTCCGGGTTTCGGGCGGTGACGCATATTGTGCCTCCTGTCACCCGCAGTTTCCGTTCAAATCGTGGCTTTCCGTCTCTGACATGGCTTCTGGCGTGGAGCGCTTCGAGCTCCTGCTCGTCAATGAACACAAGGTCGCCGCAGAAGTCTTTCACTCTCTCAAGCACATGGGGTGTGAGAGCGTAGCAGACTTTGTGGGTCTGTACACCGAGGCTGACTATGAAGACGGGCTGAAAGAAGTTCTCCAGAAAACTGAGACCTTCAAGGACAATCGGATCCAGCTTGCCCGCTTGCGCGTGGCATGGGCCCGAGCCAAGCAAGACTTGAGCGCCACCTCCTCTGGCCCACAAGAAGAGAACCTCGAGGCCCCTCTTCCGCCAGAAGTTCGGCAACGCCAAGAAGATGCTTTCTTCGCCAAGTACAATGTCAGGTTTCCTCCTGACCTTCTCCCTGCAGCCACTTTGTTTGCGCGGCACTTTCGCGAACTTCGCAGACAACACAAAGAGCTCGATGACTTGGCTCGTGTGAAAAGTGCAGCTGAATCCTCGACAGCACCAGCTACCGAGGTAAAGCAACTCGGGGACTTTCGTGTGGTCCTCAAGGCTGAGCCTCCGGCCGTCAGCTTCAAAGACCTCATCAGCTTGCTTCGTGCTCATGAGATTCTCCTCAACAGCTGGGCCATGGCTGGCACAGCAGAGCGAGACTCAAAGTTACTCCCGGGAACCAAAGTCTTGGAGTTCTCCATGTCCGACAACCTGGCCTACCGCACCTTTGCTGCAGAGCGCCTTCGGCGCTACCCCGGAACTGTGACGCAGGCCATCCAATGGTTCCTCGACCGAGATCGCCAAACACGCTTGGCCGCCATCACCTTGTACCAAGACGAATGGCCCTTGGGTGAAGCTCTCAAAACAGCATGAATCCAAGACAGCAGTCCTATGGCAGGTCGGGGGTAGTGGCGTTGGTGCTGTGGATGACGCCTTGTCCTCCAAGCCTCCTGAGCCCCCAGCGCCGAAACGCCTCCGCGTTGACCGGGCTGGGTCTTCTCAGGTCGACACATCCACAGGGAAGACCATTTCCGCCAAGGACCTGTGCGAGAAGTGGAACAAGGGACAGTGTACTCGTCGCCAAGCCGAATGCAGTGAGAAGAAGCTCCATCGGTGCTCCTTTCCAGTTGAGGGAGGTTTTTGCGGAGCCTGGCAACACCACGCCCTCAACCACAACAAGAAGTCTCGGGGCTAGGGACAACTCCTCACTGCTGGCCTGACCAGCAGTGAGGTCGTCCCTGCAGCTTCTCCTTCTCCTGGCGCTGACAAGCCCTCGGAATCTTGGTTTCGTGATGTATTATCCCTTTTGCCTATGTCGGACATTCCTCATGAGGTCATAGCTACAGCATGGAAATCCTTTGTGACTGTTCCATTAGAACCTTTCCAACGTTTCCACGTTTGGGCGGCCCAACATGGTCTTGACAACCCCTTTGGCCTTGACTGGGAAGCCCTGCGACACTTCGACCCTGCACGTTCTATGAAACAATCCCGTGCTTCTATGGTCGACCCCTTCATTGACGTGTCTTTGCCTCCCAGGCAGCATTTGCAAGCAGCCCTCGCTTTGTCTAGCCCTTTTGCACAAGAAATTTGGTTGGAAAAGGACTTGCAGTTCGCGGTGCATGAGGCTGTTTGCGCAGGGTTGGATATCATGCGGGTCCGCAATGAGAGTTACGCGGCTTTCCGCTCCCTGGGGCGAGCTTTGCTTCCCATAGATAATGTGTTGTTAGCAGCTCGACATGTCCACCACGTTCCCGGTTTCCGTCCCGCCCTGACGGCCGCACTGGTCAGTATTTTGGACTGGCCTGACCGTGGTTTGCCAGAGTGTTTGTGTCGAGGTTTTCCGATTGTTGGAAGCATCCCTCCGTCTGGGATATTCAGGCCCACGTCTCCTGAGCCCTTACCTGAGGTAGCTCTTCTGGGACATGATGCCATATCTTATGTTGATGCGCTCGAATCTGACCTTCGTCTTCACCCCTCCGCTGCCATCATTCTCGAAGAAAGTACCAAAGAACAAGATTTAGGTCTTTTGGGGTCGTTCCACAGTCGAGCCTTTTTTGATAATCTCTATGGTGTCGGTCAATGGCGCCCCTTGAAACGCCACACAGTTCACCAGCATGACAAAGAACGCCCAGTGGACGATGGTAGAACCGGGAGGCACAATGAGTGCACCCAGCTTCACGAGGCAATTGTCAACCAAAGACCTGACTTCCCTCTAGCTGTTGTTAAGTTTTGGTACCAGGATGCATTACAGTTTCTTCGGTCTCACCACCCGGCAGCTTCCCCCAGCGACTTACCTCAACATATGCCTTGGCTCGAGGTTGTGGCTGGCACAGAAGACCTTTGGAAGGGCTACCGCCAAAACCATCCCTTGAAAGATCATATGTGTGTAAACATCATCACTTTTGTTCATCCACATTCCAAAAAAAACGTGTCTATGCTCAGTTATACGGTCTGCCATTCGGCCTTGCGTCGGCCGTCAATCAGTTTAATCGCGCCCCGCAACTCTTCACTGCTGTTTGTCGTCGTGTTTTTTCGATGGTTGCCGGACATTATTTTGATGATTCTATACAGTTTGAGTATGCCCACCTCGCTGGTGCTCGCAAGACTCTGTTCATCCGCATTTTGGAGACTTTTGGCGTTCTCATAGGACACCATAAGCGCCAACATATGACCTCCATGCCCCGTTTTTTGGGAATGGTCACTGACCTCTCCCGTCTCAATGACGAGCATGTTGTCACCCTCACATCTTGTCCTGAAACGAAACAGCGAGCGCTGCGGATGTTGTCCGCATTCTTGTCCAGTGGTCGTGTCACACCTGCTGAAGCCGCTAAGGCCCGTGGCCTCCTCAATTGGTTAGAAATGTCGCTCTTGGGCAAACCTCTTACGGCTGCCTTCTCCGGCCTCATCGCCCGGCAGTACTTCGACCACACCAATGCGTTAACTCCCAGCTTGGCACTCTGCCTTCAGTACTTGCAGCTGGCCCTCTCGATCGTACCATCTCGCCGTGTGCCCGTATACCCCCGACTCACGGAACCCGTCATCGTCTACACTGACGCATCGACTGCTGCGCCAACTCCGCTCGGCTTCCGCCTAGGCATTTGGATCTTGTGTGATGAGCGTATTTGGGTTGACAGCATTGATGTTCCCAAAGAGGTTATTGTGACCTGGGCACCTCGCCAGACTTACATCAACCTACTTGAACTACTCGCCGTTCCTTTGCTCGCAGTATCTGCTCCAGAACTTCTCAGAAATCGCGACATCCTGTGGTTCCTTGACAACCAAGCAGCCTGGCGAGCTATCATTCGATCTGCCTCCTCAGCTGCGGACGTTGGTCACTTGTCCCTGCTGGCAGGCCTTCAATTTGCTCGCCTGCGATGTAACCCTTGGTTTGAGTGGGTCCCCTCCCAACAAAACTTCAGCGACCCCTTGAGTCGCTTAGGGTGGGCAGACCCTGCTGTCGCTCATGCCGTCCAAACGGGTGCCTGGACGCCTCTGCGGCTTGCGCCAATTTGGCACCAGCTAGCGCCCGACTTGCACACCATTTCGTCTTTCCTTACAGCGTTGGAGTGAATCTGAGCCGGCGTTGGGGTAGTCAAATTTGCTCCTTCCGCGTAAACACCAACGCTGTAATT